CGGAGGGTACAGAGCTCCCAATCTCATTGTTTTCCTAATTTTCAGACATTTTCAGCCGCTGTTTTACTTATTTGAGTTAGCTGCTGATCGCTAACAGCTACATTCTAAATCTCCCGGGTAGGTCGCACACATAACACATCGTCAAAACGTCACATTTATACTGGCCATGGTCCCGTCTTGTCGCCGTCCTGTTAGACACCTTTTCAGCACTGTTACATGGCGGCTTAAAGGTGAGATCACTCTCTCTCCACATTTCGTGATCATACCTCATAGTCAAAATGGAGAGGGGGCATAATAGCACGATAATCCCAGCCTTTCACAGCCTCAAACTTCTGATGAGTGTCGCGTGACAGAAATTACTTATTTTCAACAGATAAAAAAGCCGATGTGCTACCTCAAATTAAAGCTGTATAACTGTCTTTTTAAGGAAAAGGACAACCAGACTATATGTATATATATACCAACATAACACATCAAAACAAACCCTAATTACTGAAATTTGATTTTGGCTTTTGGTTTTTCAGTGGCTACCCTTAGGAAAAAATTCTGGAGGTGCCACTGCCTGCTGCAGTCCATCTAACACACAATCTGTAAAGGATGTGTGCGGTGAATGGATACAGGTATGCTTATGTGTAATGTGTCCCAGCTTTGTGTCAGCTGTGAGTTTACGCACAAGACAAACTCCAGAGCTTCACGAAGGAGCAACTCTGCTCCCAATAAAAAGGAGAATCTCAATACTGGCCTCATAAATGTCATAGTTTCCACAGCAGGACGGAGCAATGAAGTAAATAACATCCTCTGACGACTTCCTCCTGCCAGTCAAGTTAACCACCATGGCTTTGAAGTACTTGTAAAGCAAAACAGTTTAACATGTGATTTCATGTCTTTGGTTTCACTGTTTACTTTAGGTAATAAATACACTAAATAAAAGTCACTGCTGACTGACAAACCGGTTCAGTCTACTCGCGGTCTGGTAGGAAACACCTCAGGCTGGTATGTCTGTCGATATCTGGTTATTGCAGAGCACCAGAAATGATTAGTGACAAGTTGGACTGAGCTGCAAGAGCACTGTAAGAGGTTTCTGGAGAACAGTGCAAGCAACTTTGACTTTATTTGTGCCATTGCAAGATCATAACGCCTGCCATTCCTGAAGGGTCTGAGTTACAACACGGAAACACACTAATATTTATTCAATCATCTCAGAACGGGAAGACAAAAGAGGAAAGAAAAATCTTGATCCTCACTGCTTGTGTATATTTTTATCTAAATATTTAGACAGACAGAACAGAATTAACTTTCTGCTCTGAAAACCTCATAAATCCACAATCAGACGAAGGCCATGAAAGCTGCTCACTCATCATCAAGTGTCTGAGTGATGCAGGACCTCAGGATGGATAGATGCCAGGAGCTTTTTGGTTTCATCAGAGTCAAGACGAGCCAACAGAGGAAACAAATTCAGCTATGCAAGGATTTGAGCAGGGGCAATTACTGTGAGGGACTCCGGGATGAGTTACACATCCAACTCCAGAGGATGTTACTTCCATGAGCAGCATCCCGAGGTGACAGTAAAAATTTATCCCCAATAATAACTCAGAAACCGCTGCGCACTAAAACAGAGACACGGGCTGCCTGGTCACCATCAACGATGATTAACTATGATGTAATCCAGACACAGACACAACATAAAACCAATTCTGACACACCCGTGGTGTCAGGAGGAATGTCAGCTTTCCAGGAACTGAGGAAACAGACTTGGTTTTAACTCGACACCATCAGTTTTTAACTTATTCAAAAAAGTTTAGACGGAGGTTTAAAAGACCAGTGGTTGTAATTTTGTCAAACCAGAACCATGCAATCGTTCAGGTGAGGTTAAACATAAAATTCCCCCAAACCGGACCCACGAGGTTTGCACAGGACGACAGCGATAATGACTAACCAGAGCCTACATTTCACAACGCTGATTTCACATATTTGACTCAGGTCTAAAAACCACACAGCCGCAGTAACCTCACCTCCCAGGAGCCCGCTCCACTCATGTTACTGCTCTTCATAAATCCTTAAGCATCCTGGCGGTGGGCTATTGTGCAACCGCAGTGACACGGCCAGTGCCTCGTATGTCACATCCACGCAGCCACAACGCAACACAGCTTCAGTCAAACTCACATTCTGCCTCTTTACCACAGAGGCTCTTTCCCAACATCGTAATTACTGGATTACCTATCCTGCTATTGTATATTATATTTCCATCCATGTTACAAAGTATCTGGCGCTGCAGGGTGACGTGGTGGGTTGGTACAAATATGTTGAGAGCTTCTGTGTGCAGAAGCCCAGGGGGACACAAACTGCAGAGTGGATTGAATGAGCCTCAGTTAAGACTTGAGCTGCAGGCAGTTCTTGACACGTAAAGAAGTATTTTCGAATCAGGGCTACTTTTACAGTTGCCAGGGGATATGTGGAAAGACTGTAGCTGAACTAATAACAACAACAGACCCACAATGTAAGGACAATGAGGAAACAGGGGCAAGGGACGGGTAGATGACTGACCATCCAACGGCTTGTGTCAGTCAAAAAGGCAGGGGACTAATACTTCTGTGTCAAATCAACGCTGTACCCATGGCCTGGGCTCTGCATTGACGTAGAGCCTACGCTGTAGCCTGACTTGCACCTCCCCAGAAGAGTAACTACACGTCGCTGCAATGCAGACCTCCTGTCTGTTTCTGTAAGCTGAAACCATTTCCCTCAGTGGAAACAAAGCTTTTATTTATTTAATTTCACAGATAAGAAACAATAAATTGTGAAGACAATAAAGCCTCCACAAAAATAGCATTTTAAGTCTTATCCTGGCTTCATATGAGCAGAGGAAATCTTTGCTCGTCGCTAGGCTAATTTATACAATGTAAAATGCCATCTGCTTGTGCTAATAACGTTAGCATGTTACATTTGTTTGGGAAACGTGTTTAGTATGACAGTTGTTTTGTCAGTGAACCTTGTGAGCTGTAAGGGAGCCAAATTTTGTAATGTTACCTTTGCTAAATGTTGCTGTTGTCCCTGGCTTCATATGAGCAGAGGAAAAGTCAGTCAAAGCTGCTAAGCTAATTTATACAATGTAAAATGCCATAGGCTGGCGCTAATAACATTAGCATGTTGTATTTGTTTGGAAAACGTGTTTAGTATAAGACAGTTGTTTTGTCAGTGAACCTTGTGAGTTGTAATGGAGCCAAATGTTTTAACGTTACCTTTGTTAAATGTTGCTGTTGTCCCTGGCTTCATATGAGTAGAGGAAATGTCTGCTAGCCGCTAAGCTAATTTATACAATGTGAAATGCCATAGGCTTGTGCTAATAACGTTAGCATGTTGTATTTGTGGGGAAAATGTGTCCAGATAAAGACAAGTGTTTGTCTGTGAATGCTGCGAGTTTTAGTGAAGCTGATTTGTGTACTTGTGTTTGAAACTGTCTCTATTAAGCCATGTTTAATGTGTGTTTAATGTGTGTTTAGAATCAACTCATCTTTACAGTGTCAGGAGTTGGGAAAATCCAGCAGCCTGGTCCTCATGACCGAATTTGTGGGAAGCATATTGTGACAAGTCAGCTTTATGTCTCATTTCATTTTCAGTTATCAAAGAAACAATTGTTGAGCACTGATTTTATAATCTGTCTGTGCTTTAAATGTAATAGTCTATGTTCACACTATGAACAACAAAGTTCAAAACGGGAACTGCCCATTGGTTCGACATCCCATTGTTCCGACCATATTAAACCCATTGTTCCGAAGTCCGTTCCGAAATCATCATGATGCCCTGTGGTTAAGGTCTGGTTAGGTTTAGGCACAAAAACCACTTGGTTAGGGTCAGGAAAAGATCATGGTGTGGGTTAAAATGAAAAAGAAAGTGACAAACACATAAGCTGTGAGCCTGCTCCGCCTCAAGCCGGTCGCGGCGCTCCATACGCCCGCCGCGAGCCGTTCAGCACCGCGGACAGTCGGACTAATGGGATGTCGAACCAATGGGCTGTCGAACCAGTGACATGGACCCGTTCAAAACAGCCATCGTGGTCAGCTGCAAAACAAACGTCAAATAGATCGAAACTCCACTTATGGCTGAACAGATTTTTTTTTTAAATTGCAGACCTCCACAATTCAAACCAGTTGCCAATTGTCTACCTGGAAGTGATTGTTGTTGTTAGCGTAACGTCACAGTGATTCAACCTAGAGAAATTATTACATATAGACTCAGTGCTCCTTACACTTTTCGCCTTGTAGATAAAGCTAAGTCAGATAAAGCATATCTGCGTGCAAATTCTCCGGGGGAATATCCACAGGACAGTCTACAATTTGGCTAATGTTCTTTGGACCAATAGTTTTTGAGAAAAACTGGGGAAAAGCATCACCTCCACCTTTGATTCGTCACATCAGAGGCTCAACAAAGTTCCGTATAGGCAACCAATGGTGTTTTATACAGAGCACACATAATGATTTCAACAGCAAAAATTTTACAAAAAACATGAAATATTATCCAATCGTTGCTCGCAGCCTGACATACTAAACAATGTCTGTTTCAACCAACTTGCTGCTGTAGTTGAGGTTTGTAAACTTGTATAATTGTCTCAATAAAGTTTATCATAGTAAAAGTAATGGATAAACAGTTGAAATAGGCAGGCTAAGTCTTGGATAAATGGTTGAAACATCCAGCCTCTGCTACTCCGAGTGGTAGTGGAAAAAATGTAAACTCGAAAGTTAGTATGAAACCAAACCAACCCAAACATAAGACAGTTCAATTAAATGAGAAAGATACTTCAAAAATAAATGTTTTTATATAATCAATAGTGTTAAATTATATTGAATTTAAAATCAAAGCATGTTTGTACATTTTGGTGTTGATTAAGGACGCTGTAGTTCATTTGACACTGTGGGAGCAGCTCAGACTAAACGTTGGGAAACACTGATGTTGGACTTTGGCTGAAAGCATCCACCATCTCTTCTCTACAAACATGCAGTACTCACGTTAGTCTTGCTGGACACGGCGAATGTGGCTCGACTGGAGAAGCGGGTCGTGGAGGGGCTGCTGCTTGACAGTGGGCCCGTCATCATGGACGTAACTCTGGAGCCAACAGGAGGACTGCTGGAGCTGGGAGAGGATGAGAAGGTGGCAGGTGGGGACGCAGGACTGGACTGACTGCTGAGGCTGCTGTAGGTCTGGGTTTGACTCCCCAGGCTGCAGGGCTGGATGTGAAGCAGAGCCTGGCTCTGACTGTGACTGTGAGTGTGAGTGTGGGCCTGACCCTTCCCGTAGATCACCTCTTTAATCTCCTGATGGTTCTCCTGAATGTCACTGAGGTGGTTCTTGTGATTGTGGCTGTTGTTCAGCAAGGTGCTCCTGTCACACGTCATCCCACTCAGCAGCTCCACCTGTCGGGTCAGAGCCTCCAGCTGACTCCTGAGCTGCCGGTTCTCCTGCTGGAGCTGAGCCACAGCTCGTCCGAGAGGCCCGCTCAGGTTGGCCGTCTCTTCCAGACGACGCTCCATGCCCAGCTTAAAGGCGCTGACGTCCACGTGGATCTCCCTGATGGCATCCCGGAGAGTGTTCTCATACCGGGCCAGAGCTGCACACACTGTCTCCCCCTCTGGAGAGGAAGACCGGGGGTGACACAAGTCTCCCATCTCAGCCAGGGTCGGGGCTTCCATCAGTTCAGCTGTAGCCACTGGTTACCCTCTGGAAACAGGCCAGACAGCCTCTCAGTCTGTGAGCTAACGTCTGACAGAGAGATCCTCTGGAGAATGTGTAGCTTCAGTCGGGGTTTGGCTGGAGGGGGGACTGACAGAGAGAGGTCGGGGCAAAGGTCTGGTTTGTTTTATCCCAACTCCTTCAGCTCTGTCCTGGGACGTCCCCGGCTGTGTCTCCGTCAGTAAACTCTGCTTTACAGAGAACAGACGTTTCACTCTGTCTTCTGTTTGGAAAGTACAAAAGAGACTCGACTTAACCTTTAGCTTGTGAATGGCTGTCAATCTCTTAATCCCACCATCTGTGGCATATGATTGAAGGTACATTACAAACCATGCAGGATAGTAACAGTTAAATCAGAGTGTGTCAAATGATTTCATGCAGAATCTAGAACAAAATCCAGAATATGACAAACTAAGCTCAAACACAGCTGCTCTTTCTGCATTGAACTGAACAACAGAATCTATTTTTAAAGAAAGCACACATCTCTGAACTGCCATAAAACACAGCAGTGAGGTAATCCTCTCTCCCAGCTGCAGCAAACCTACCTCAGCTTCGCTCCCAGTACAGCTCACCAGAGTTTCCTAAGCGCTGAACAGCTGTATGAGCGTGTGTGTGTGTGAGTGAGTGTGTGTGAGCTCTGATCTTCGCTGCCGCCTCTCTGGTTTGTTTAAACTCTCAGGTTGATCACTCCTCTCTTCTTGCTGAGAGGGAGGGAGGAGAAAGGGAGGGATAAAGGAGGAGGGTGGAGGTGGAGGTGGTGGTGGAGTGAAGAAACAACATGGAGAGGGTAGTAAATGTGAGGGGAGGGGAGAGAGGCTGGCTGGGAGCTTTTATATCCCTGTGCTGTGTAAACTATTGGAAGGAGGACTCACTGCACCTCTGCTTTTTTATCATGGTTATGTCTCCCTGCTCAGTTTGTGTTTTCTCTCTCATCAGTTCTTTTCTCTACTTTTATCTAAACACTCATAATCATAACCTGATTTAGTTTGTAGTGCCGGTACAGATACATGATCTCTAAGGCTGCTGTCAGCCCTCGAGTCGTCTCCTTTGGTCTGAATCAGGGACTCATTTTGTTCCTAAGTTGTATAATTGCCTAGAGTTGGTTTGTGTTCTCACGTCAGCATTTACAAGAGGACCAGATCAAATGCCTTGTGTGAGAAAGCTGCTCTTGATTGGTCAGAATTTCCATGTGGGAAAAATCCAGGAAGTAAAGCAAACGTTGAAGAAGAGTACACTTGCAAGATAAATGTGACACTTTCTAATGTCACAATGGAGGGATAACTACGCAGGTTGATTTTAGCGCTGCTCATCGTGGACTATATTGCTGTCATTGTTCATTTTAGTCAAACCATACAGTTTGAAAACGAGGCGCGGCTCCAACTAGAAAACAATGTTTTGATGCATTGGATGTGCTGAATGTGCATATTAAGGCAGTACAGGAGGAGGTGCACATTAATAATCCTCCAGGACTGTAACATGCTCATGTTTAACCCAAACAATGTGTCATGTGACTGCAGTTGCTTCACATCCAGGTTGGAACACCTTCTCACCACAAACCAACCGCACCAGAGTTCATTTGGAACCAGACTGAGACCACCTCTTCAAGAAGGTCTCGGAGTGTGATTGTTGTGTTCACACCTGCCCAAACGAACCGCACTGAGGGGGCAAACGAACTTAAATTTGATTAAAAGGTACCAAACAGGGCAGGGCCAATTCCACCTAAGCTTTTTCCTACCTTCTCCTACTCCTTCTCTCTCTCTCTCTGGTCTCTATCTGTAGTTCTTTCACTCTACATCATTATCTTTCAGTCCCCTTGCTCTAATGGTTATCTTAATTTCATTAAGATAAGGACTGCAGCAGGTCAAAAGGGGGGGATCCAATAAGTGGTTTTGAAGTATTGGATAAAAAGATCCTGAAGTATAATTTTCAAGACAATTTTCAACTTTGCCTCAAATTGAAGCTCATCAACTTGGGGAGTTTTCTCTGTACAAATGAATCTGTGATATTAAACACAAAGCAATTAAAATAATCATTCCTTAAATCAATTTTAAGGAAGATTTGGACAAAGCGGAAAAACAGGCGGTATTGTTTTGTTTGTGTTGTGTGCAATATTTTGAAATAAAATGGCAGCAAGCCCCAGAATCTTATTTTGCTACCTTCCCCTTTGTGTCAGGATACTCCTTGCCAAATTTCATACTTATATGACTATTTATGGGTCCCCTGAGACCAAATGGCCTCGAGTTGGGGTTGCTCATTATCAGCTTATCCTGAACGGAGAGGATTGTGTGCCGCGATGGCCACGCCAGACAGGCCACATCCACCATGAAGGGAGCAGAGGAAAAGAGAGAAACAGGTGTAGCCACACCTCTATATGTAAGGGCGCACCGTGCCGCCCCACAATCTGAATGTGCAGTGATTTGGTGCACATTATGATGGCCCAAGGTTCAGGCTAACAGGAAATAACAATGAAAACATCATGAGGGCTGGACCTGACTATTGGCCGCTAGCTAGCCTTATTCATAATTGCAAACAGCTACAGGTAGACACCATAGTCACTTAGTTACTGTTAGTTAGTCAGTACGTTTACATGCACAGTTAAGTCGAGCTACAGTTACAACTCGACTAGGCCTTTTAATCGGACTACTGTCCTTGTCCCAGTATACAAGCATGGGAGGGAAATCCATTTATTGACCGAAGTATGTCTGACTCCTCTACAATAGGTGGAGATATGACCCCTTTCAGCTTGATAGCATTAGAGCTTTTACCGGTTGACCTATTACGTCACAGACCAAACAAACGACAAACAAATTAGCAACAGTTAGCTAGCAGCTAACTGGTGCTGACACATCACGAACTGTCTCCTCGTCCGTCCAAAAACACACGGCTCTGGATGTGCATTTCTCCTTCTTCTTCTGTTACACATTTAATGCTATTCCACTTCCAGGTCAAAGCCCGTGGTGGAAACTGTGGAGCATGCTCAGTGTGCCTCGGCCAGTTTGGATCTGATTGACTGTATACATGCAGGAGGAATTCAACTCCCAGTCACATTATCTGGGCGTGTTAGTCCCACTTTGAGAAATTAGATTTAGTAGAATTTCAGTTGGACTAACATGTTTATATGTATTTTAAATGTCCGGTTTTAGTCGGACTGACACACTAAATCCATGTCATGTAAACATACAGACTGTTGCTCTGTCGGTCAAGTTTAGTGCTGCAGTGTTTGTAAGATAGTTTCTGGACATCAGTTAATATAGCTTCAAGAAGCCGACAGTAAGGACTACATTATATGACGGTAACACGATGGGATAGTAGACATCGTGTAACAATATCCAAATGAATAACATCGAAGGTTATTTCAGGGCAGCACGTAGCCTCATGCTGCGTTCACATGAAATCAGTAGACAGACTGTAAACGCCAAACCAGATATCATTTTAGTGGACGATAGCAAGATGGTAAAATTATGCAATTTCCACATATTGGTAGATTGTATGATCATACTACTTACTGTACATGTGTCCCACACATGACCATAACTAGAGTGTAAATGCCAGTAGAGAGAGTTACAGGTTCACCTTCCAGTCTTTACATTTTTCTATCAATGTCTATTCATGAGTGTCTTTTGTCTGCTGGACGGCAGGACAAGACACACACACAGACAAGCTGGCTGCTGAGGACTACCACCCTCCCCCCTGTAACTGGACCCCAACAGAGCGAACATTCAGCACCAGATAGCAATTGTGTGTGTGTGTGTGTGTGTGTGTGTGTGTGTGTGTGTGTCTGTGTCTGTGTCTGTGTGTGTGTGTGTGCGCGTGCAACAGACAGACTCATGCAAATACTTCAACATTCCACCCTCCTGCTTACTGTCAACAGTGTGTGTGTGTGTGTGTGTGTGTGTGTGTGCTGTGAGGTAAGGAAGGGGCTTGCTGAGGTGATTTAATGGAAGATTGTCCCCCCCACCCTTCCGTCTCCCTTTCTCTCAGACAGCAACACAGACAGCAACAGACCAAAGTAGAGGTCAGAGGTCAATATTACGTCCACATTAATGCGATTAATCTTTTTCTAGTTTGACAGCGTTTTCCATCCTAGAAGGTTTTTTTGAAAATGAGCAAACACTGGACGGGGTGGTGTTGTTGTCACTCACTGCTCCGTCCAGCACTCGCTGTATTTCCTCATCAGCGGTGACACAGATGGAAGTCTGCACCTGGTTTATCGTCCACAGAACGAGGCTGCACGCCCACATTTTCAGAACAAAATAGAACAGGCTGCAGTGAGAGTCTCTCTCCATGGGATATTTAAAAATAGCAGCTTTGTGCATTTAGTCCTTCTCAGGCAAGCTCAGGGGTTTAGTGTTGCTGTAGCCCACAGGAAGTGAGGATTAGAATATATGACCTTCACATAATCTGGTCGAAATTAATATAGATTTTTAAACGCTTGAAGATCCACTCATCACTAAAAGTGTCTGTCATATAAAAACTAAAGTGATGGTCAAAGTTGAAATATTTAAGGTGGGCTGACTGAGATACGTCGTCAACTCATGCATTGAGTAACATTACAAGTTTACATCGCCAGCAGTCGACCCGGTGAATTCAGTTGTTTTTTTCTCAGACTCCAGCTGCTGTGAGAGGCAGCAAAACATCCTTTCATTTTATAGTTACAGTTTACTAATAAAACTCTCCACAGTATGAACAGTGGTTACATGAGCCTCAAAACCAGACACAACTCAGCCCTGAGCAGAGTGACCGTCCTCTACTGACCAATCAGACTGCAGTGTTCACAGCTCCACCTTTTAGTACCACATCTGTGTGCTAGGTACCCCAACAGAGGAGGGACCAAACATGGGGACGGTACGGAACGGTTCTGTTGGTACCATCCACAACTTTTCACAGTGGAAACGTAAAAAAAAAACGCGTACCGAACTGAACTGTTTGGTGTGAACGGAGTTTATACAGCAAGCATAAATTCACAGGATTTCCCTGGACGTCCAAAAACTGATGCTGATGGGGCACCTATAGCATCACAGTTTGATGTGTAGGGCCACTAACCAAACGCTGATATGTGAAGAGTTGGGAGCGAGAATGTGTCGGCTTCCTGCTGTCCTTTATTTTTTTATGTCAATAAAGCCAATCAGAGTGAAACCTTCACAGTCAGACTTCATTCCAGAAGTGATTCATTGATCCAGAGCAGCAGCTTCTGTTGCCAGGTGTAATTTATGACCTGCAGTTATATTAGAATTTAATATGTAAGTGTAGACGTTTATTGGCAGAAACAGAAAGATGTGTTGATGCGAACACCTGTTCTGGCTCATTCTCTATTCAGAACCACAGACATAACAGAGAATCATGTTTGAATTCGCCTCTGAGTCACTTTTCTGTGAAAGTCATGAGGGCATTTCACACACACTGTAACATGGCTGACTTCATTTATCTGGTAAGGTAATGAATACATAATTAATTAAAGTGATGAATCGCCACCACAGCAAGGTTTATTAAAATCATTTCAAATTCCTTGTGCGTAGAAAATTACTAGATTACAAATTTGTTAAAAGGTCTTGTCTTAAAGGGACAGTTCGGATCTTCTGAAGTGGGGTTGCATGAGGTGCTTATCCAAAGTCAGTGTGTTACATATGGTGCGTTCATTTTGTACTGGGAGGTCCGACGTCGGAAGTGGGAATGACGT